GATATGGTCACCATGGGATTCAGAGCTTGTCATTGGCTGTTAGGGACATGAGGCAGGCTGTGATTGGTTGTTCTTTATCACATGATGATAGCTGACGGTATAACTYTTCTCTTCCGCCCTTACCCGGGCGGCCACATCTGACAGACTTCTCTGATTGTTTTCTGTTTAATGTTGCCCACACTAATAAATGATTTTACGACCATACTGGCAAGACTGTTCGTCTATTTGAAATCCTTCCAACGTGTTTTCTGTCCGTTTTGCCGCGACACACATAAACACACACACACACACACATATAAATATATACACATACACACATATGTACACACACACAAAATCCAAATTTAATATACAAAAATTGTGTGTCTCTCCTGGGGGCTAAGCCCCCCTTGTCCTTAAAACCTAGCGACACCCCTGTCTCAGACACAAATTATAAAAGTCCGTAATGACATCTGATGGTAGACTCCTCATGTTGCTGCAGTGAGTCCACAGATGGTAAMTAATGGTTCAAACTACAGTTTTCTTAAAGCTTCCTGTATCTCAACAAGCTGATCTGCTTCAATAGTTGCCGCCTTTGTGTCACAATATAATCGTTCTGTCTCATGGACAGTGACACTATTGTGAAATGATAAAAGCTGATGTAACATAAACCACTTTTTGGAACCTGTCTTCTGAAAGGTTTTTAGAGAATGCTCTTCCATCATCCCTCCAAGCCAAACTGATCTTTTTTTTGTGCCACATTACGCTCAACTGTAACTCAATTCCTCTTCTGTGTGTAGGAAAAGTCCACGTGTGTTTTGTGTGTCACAGGTCAGGATTATCCTGAGCAGCTGAATATTTGTAGTAATGAAGCTGATGGTTTGATTCTCTGTCCACAGCAACATCGGGCGACTCCCACCTGAAACTGCTGTCTGACGTGGCCCAAACTGTAAAGGGCCAAGGGACGATTGCCTGGGTCAACTGTGGGTAAGTAATGGCATAATTAAAAATAAATCTTCTTTCCATCTTTTCTGTGTTTCCTGCTCTATTCAGCCTCTTTTGTCCAGGGAARTATCTAACAGCCTTTAGAAAGACTGAACCATTTACTCCTAAATGTCTCTGCTTCCGTWCATCTGCTCAGTTTATGTCTTCTTCACTGAGGTGTTAATGGTCCTGTTCCACTGGTTCYATTGTACGGACGCAATTTAAAAGACATTTTTCACTTATTAGGGCTATTGAAGCTATTGGTCTAATGCTGCACATATCGTCTATATAATTTCAGTTGTCCACTTTCAGGGCCTTTATTATGGTGTGTGTATGTGTATAGTGGGGTGTTGCACAGTAAGTTTTAGTTTATTTATTTATTTTTTTAATTGATAACATTATCTTATACATAACTGAAGTTACCGTATTTACTCGTGTATAATACGATCTCATGTATAATACGACCCCCCCTTTTTTTGCTTAAAAACCATAAAAAATTTAATCCTCAAACTACCTCCAATTTCATCCAGACTTCAAGATTTTTCAGCCTTTGCAGTCTTTATACATATCAGTAAAATGATCATTGGACTGTTCATTTTATTTTAACAACATACGTATGTGCTAAAAGGTATTTTGACAACAAATATATAAACCCCAAAACCAGAAAAGTTGGCACGTTGTGTAAAT